TTCTCAGTGCAGAATTTGAATGGGTGAGGCAACTTCTAGCCTGTAGAAAAGCTCATGAGGGAAAGATACAACACTACATTCCTCAGTCCTTAAATTATAACTGTGGATTGCAGAGCTCATCAGCACATTCTTCCCAGATTCCCATCCATAGATGAAGAAACGGATGGTCAGACAGAGGAAATGACTTGCCCACAGTCAGTGAGTCACTGGTAGTGTTTAAGAGAACGTGTGTCCCTCTTGACTTCTAGAACTTTCCAACTGGTCTTTGTATGCGGACTCCTCTTGGTTCTAAACTAGGTCTATTAAATTCTATTCTGCTGTATTTTCCAGTTCTTAACAGCTGAGGGCTTCTACCTCCAAAACGCACTGTCTTGGGATAGAGCTAGGCCTGGCTCAAGTCCCTGCCCCGTGACAAAAGCAATGTGACTATGGACAGTAGCTTAACCTCCCTAAGTATTAGTTTCTTCAACTGAAAAGGGAGATAATAATAATTATCCAAGAAACTGTTGTTTTGATTAAATGAAATTATTCATAGAAAGTACTAGGCATAGCGCCCAGCATATGATAAATAGACAACAAAAATGGAAACTACAATCGCTATTATTGTTGCAGAAGAAAGAGTTTGAAAGAAGTATAACACAGTTTAGTTACACAGACTATTTGGAGAGGTGGAATATGATAAATGGATGCTCTGACATGGAAATAATAGGAGGTCAGTAACAAGTAATTAAGAGTCTCAGAGAGAGTTTCCTGGAAGAAGCAAAATGGGATATTTCCATAGGGCAATGAGGCTCTGTCTTCCTCTTTCTTCCTGTTGTACTTTCATAGTAATTTTATCTTCACATTGGTACAGGAAGAAAATCATATATCTTAATTAAAAGGTAGAAAAACAGACCCAAAGAAATGAAGTGACTTGCCTAAAGATATAAGATGGGTTTTTACTGACCTATCGTGATATTAACTACACGCTAACGCTTGAAGAAATATGCACTTTTGCCCAAAGCTGTCATAGAATGCTCAGCCTCCTAGTGTGTGTGTGTATATATATATATATATATATATATATATATATATATATTCTTAAGATAATTTCATAATCTGTAACTAAATTTTGCTATAAGACTGTGCTCCAAATTTGATACACATTACCATCAATATGACACTTCTGAGGAGGAATATTGAAAAATCATACCAGTAAATGCCAGTATTTTTGTTTCTAATTACTAGAAATGCAGACCTAAGACAGACATGTCACTTGAGACATTTGTGAAAGAATAATGGCTAAATGTTAAAAACGTTTTTTTAAAAAGTCATGTATAGAATGTACAAATCAAGCCTTCAAAACTAGCCAAATAGTCTCATCACATTTAAATACTACAATTTAAATTTATTAGCTAGAAATGTGAAACTAATCTGAAATGCAGTTTAAAGAATTGATGATTAAATACTAATGGAGGTTAGCTTTTAACAAAAAATTTAATGACATTCAGAATTCTATAAAGGAAATCAGAAGTGGTGAAACTAATCATGTTTCAGATGAAGTGGTAAAATTCTATTTCCAAACAAAGAGTAAATAGGAAGTTTCAGCTTGGTCGCATGCTCCCATGCTGCACTAAACGAGAGGATTTTGAACTGGAGAGTGGCTTTGCATCTAAGAATATTCTGATGGTGTTGGCAAGACTGGAAAAGGCAGACACTAGAAGCAGGAGGGCAAGCCAGAAGCTGCTTCAGTTGTCAAGTTTGAGATGCTGGTGGCAGCAGGGATGCAGAGGGAATGACGTGGAATCTTTTGGGTGGGGAGAATTGACAGGGCTTAGGGTCTGCCTAGATGTGAGAGGTGCAGGAGGGGAAGGAGTTCGAGTGGCAGCATAAGACTTTGCAGATGGTTTTAGGAGTAGTTGAAAGGAACAACTTGACATAAATGTCCTACCTTTAGACCAACCATGAAATAGGTCCTAACCTCCTGCACAGCCTTCAGAAGTCACTAGTTTCTATTCTATTCTACCTAGGTTCTTGAGAAAAGAGCCCCCGTTTAGCATTAATTTTGAATTTAACTTGGAGAAAATGTAGTTTTATCACAGGAATTCTTCAGTGGAAAAATGTGGTCTTTTTACTAGCAGTGGTACCCTTTCCCCCTTCCCCACCTTTGTACAAAGGGAGTGACTTGGGCTTCTATTTTCCTGTCTGAAAACTTGGGATAACAACCCCTGCTAGAAGAGCTGCTATAGGCTTTTGTGCAATAATAATGCATGAACCTTGCACACACCATTGGAAGAAGGAGGGTTATTAAGGTTTCTCTACCATTCGGATGTGTTCTATGTGATGCTAGTAGGTAAGAAGTAGGACAGTGGGTCGATGTTATTGGGAGACAGATTTTCCCCCTGGGTAAAGACAAACCTTCTGGGATCCAGAATTTTTAGAAGTTGCAAGGGCCACCTGAGAGAGAGCAAGCTGTAGGCACTGAGGGTGTTCTAGTCAAATAATGTTGTAGAAAAGAGACTTTTCATCAAGCCATGGCACACACGATAGATGATAGATGGTGGTCCCGTCTTCATGGTTTTACCTAACCAAGGTTACTTGTAATTATCTGTTACTTCATCCCTTCTAGTAAAGAAAGTATAGCATAACTAGTGTGAATGAGAATGTTGATAACTAAGCATTAATAGTAATGATTTAGCGTTTATTAACTATTTATCATAGGTGGGACACATACGTGCTTTACATATGTTCTCACATTCAATCTGCAGGAAAACGCTGTGCGGCTAGGTTTATGACTAATTTGAAATAGGCTTAGAGAAGTGAACCACCTGCCTATGACTTCTCAGCTAGTAAGTGATGAAGTCAGGATGGAAACACATGTTTGCTTGTCTCAAAGTTGTGTTTATTAAGAAGGAGGAGGAGGAAGAGGGGAGGAGGGAGGGCAAGGTAGCAGGGAGGAGGAAAACATTCACAAATATTAGCAGAGCACCTTAAATATTATCAGCCATAAATCATTTGTGACACATACCACAAATGAAAAACACAGTGTAGAGAAGTACTTTTCCCACTCTCACACTTTTCCACAGAAGTGCTCCATCTGCTTCAAACAGTGACCATATGCCCCCAGTGACCTGGGATGTAGCCTGAAGAAAATTTCTTATTTTATTCCATAACATGGCCATATACAACGTGCCTACATAGTTTAGAACAAAATGAATGTACAGTGGAATGCACGTCATCTTTATCTTGTGCCTTCATGTATCTCCTGGGAAAACTACTCTTCCCCCTGCCAGAATATTCCAGTTTTAGAAGCACTACCAGAAAAAGTATACATTCATTAGTCTAGAGGTGGATAAAGTATACAATAAACTAAAAGAAAAGAAAAAGCCTATAATTATATTAACAAATTAGCATTCCAGGAGTTTACAAGGCAACAGTTATTCACACATTCATGCTCTATCTCAAGATTTTGATGCATGTCACCTACTTAGTTTTCATTGACAGAGCACTAATGGAATCCCCAGGGACTTCTAGTCTACCCGCAATGTTACTATCTGCTCCAGCACTGCTGAAACAAATTCTCTTTTGGGTAACAAGCCCAACATTCTCAGGAAGGCTATGTTCTTCACCAGAGTCCTTCAGTGCTCATTAACTCCAACTCATCATGGTGTTGAGAGTCAGGAGACATTGTCTATCCATTGGCCCAGCACCTGTTATCTAATTGGCCTTATCCAAACAGCCCCAGCACTAACAGCAGCTGAAACAACAGATGGGCAGGAAAACTTGAGATTTTTTGACATGGTCCTTTTGTTTATGAAATACCCCCCAACTCTGCAATCTAATAGGAATTCTCTTCATTATCATTTTGTGTTTTTTCCCATGGCACTTTTTTATTATTAAAAAGTAAATTATTGATGTAGAGGGAGGTGAAGGAAAGGAATAACATTCCCCTTTGAAAATGGTCAAAAAAAGAAATGGGGATGGTGATTTGGCCATGTGGAATAGACATAAATATATCTTTGCCTTGGAGGATAAGTGGCAGTAGCCAGGTTCATTTGATGGTGGGAAGAATTCAAGCAGGGAGCTGAGAGGGGCTCAGTAAGGGGAGGGAGGTAATCTGGTGTAAGGTTGAGTGTAAGGAAGTGAGAAAAGGCATTGCACTGGGAGGTCTTGAGAGCAGAGGAGCGATGCAATCTAGGCAAATTGGAAATCTGGCAAGAACCAGTGCCTGGAATTGCAATTCCAGGACAAGATCCCCCTTTGCAAGGCATGAGATTGTTAAAACAGGCCTAAGCTAGGGATTAGGGAGGCAGAATGTAGGATATTATTTAATAGCATATGATTGTAAGCAAGTTGCTTAACCTCTCTAGGCCTCAGATTCATCATTTGTAAAATAAACATGAAAATACTAGTATACATGTAGGGTTGTTTTGATTCTCAAATGACAAAATACGTGGAAAGTACTTAGCCTTGGGCCTGACATTTAATTAATGGATGCTGCTCTTATTATTATTTTAGTCAAGAGTGAAAGACAGAGAGAGGAGCAAGTGCTGGGGAGAAGGAGTCACTGGATGTGTTCATGTGTAATGAGGTTCCTGCCCAGGTCTTAACGTGAGGAGAAAAGATCAGACAGCACCCACAGAATCTGGCATGGTACTTTCCACCCTCCGTGCCTTTGCTTACCCTATTTATTTTTCCTGGATGAATACTCCCAAACACCTTCATTATGGGCCACATACTATCTGATTCTTATCCACCAGGATTATTGTAAAGGTTAAATTAAAGATAAAAAATATTCATGTTCACATGTCAACTGATGCTAGTTATTATTGTCGTACATTTTGATGTAGTCCATCATGTGTAAGAGAGTGTCTTAGCCACAGTAGACAATGAAAATTATTGGATGACTGAATGTGCAGGTGATTTCAAAGACAAGTAAGATAGAATGTTCTCAAGGGGATCAGTTTGTCTGCCTCCAGTGTTGTGTCTGTATAGCTAACAGTCTTCTTTATGTTTTCCAGGGATCTAAATCTTGGCAGTGTGTATCAGTACCGGGTCATCACCATTTCGGGAAGTGAAGAGAGTGAGCCGTCGCCTGCTGCCATATACATCCATGGAAGTGGGTACTGCGGCGATGGCGTTATCCAGAAGTAAGTAGATCTAACTCAAGAAAAGGGAGTGAGTGATGCTAATCAGGCCAAGAGATGGTCAGGGTACTGAACAGAAGATCTTATGGAATACTCTTCAATGCATGAGCTGTGAGTTACCAGCAATCCCTGGCAGTCTATCAATTTGTCTGCAACTAGTTTGCTGGCCTCAGAAGAAAAGTAATGATTCTTTCTGGAACACCTGTATGTCTCAAGTAGGTAGCACAATCTATGATTTCAACCGAGCTACTGTTCTACGCTTACTACCAGTATGCTCTTGTTCTTAATGGTTTTATGTATGTTACAAGGATTCCCTTAATCTTTTCCAGCCCAGCCCACATTCAGTTAACAGGACACGGAGCCTCCAGGTCAAAACGCTTTTACATTCTTTGCTGGTTACCATTTACATCTGTTAAAATTACATATTTATGTGTTATTTCTTTTGTATCGTGTTATGTCAACAATTTACAAAATGGGTCAAAGGCTCATAAAAATAGCAAAATATTCTAACTCACTATAATGTTGAAACCATAAATAGTAAACAGTACTCCAAAGTGAGTACTGAATGTGAATATAAGTACAGGAAGGCAAATGAATCAGTAAGTGTAAAGATTCCACACAAGCAGCCAAAAGGGAAAAGTGTGATTAGAAAATATAAAGCTGCGTGTCTAAAAAATGGATTTTATTGGATCATCAGTCCATTCATCCCCTTGTCCACAGAGCAAGATGTTATGCAACTGCGAAATAGGGGCAAGAAGCCATCAAGACTTTTGAATTGTTAAAAAAAAAAAAGTAAAGCTTTGAATTTTTTCCTCCAGAATAAGCACAAAAATGTTTTATGGCACAAAATCGAATAGTTTTTTCCCTAGAGATGAAGAAGAGACCTAAATCATTCTCAATTACGTTCATTATTGCTAGAATTGTGTTCCTTATTGCTAACATAGTTGCAAGTCACACTATTGCTAACAGACTTTTGAAACTATTGGCAGATTTAACGATAAACATTATATCTGGAGATGGCAAAACGAGCTATTGGCAACATTTCTTCATTAAATGGCACTGTTGGGTGTCACATAATATCTGTGCAATGTGGAATTGCAATGACTATTTCTGTAGGGGGACGGGTGGTGTAAAGAGGATTCGTTTCACAGTTGGATGAAATCACTGATGTGCAGAACATGAATCGGCTCATAGGTGTGGTACATATATGAAAGAGAAGTGCTAGATGATGATTTCTTTCAGTTCATCATTGACGCTAGTGCTGGAAGGCAAGGGCAATTTAATTTGGTGCTGATGACTTTGGGGTATGTAATGTAAACTGGAAGCCTGCTTTGGGATGAAAGCGCCAGCTAGGAGCACAGCAAAGACGACACAGTTATGCAAGTAAAGAGTTTGCAGATGAATCCCCATCTACACAGACGTCAGTTATTGGCCAGCAGTTTGCTTTCTGATCATGACTTAGCACGGAAGGGAATAGAGAATGTTGCGAATATGATCAGATGAGGGCCAGTGAATTGCATCTTTTCAACTTACTGCGCAAAAAGATAGTAGTGTGTGCAAGATTCTGCTCCCCCTACACACTGAAGGATACTGGCTGTTACAAGAAAGGTACTAATTCAAGTTTTTGAAATAAGGAATGATGTTTTTAAAAATATTGACACTGATAAGGCCAATAATGATTATTTGCAAGATTTCAAGTGGCTTGCTGAAGTGGTGTATCTCAGGAATACATACTCATGTCTTAAGTGTCCTGCACCTATAATTGCAAAGCTGAATTGTCAAGATTTTAATGCCGAGGAGATAATATAAGAATTTTTAAGTGTTGAATTATGGTGTAAACCACCTGATTGCCAAGAATTTGACTCCTCAAGCATAGAAGATGAAGCTCCTCACTTGTCAGAGAATGAAATCCGTGATATGCTGTGGTGTATATTTAAAACTCATATCCAAATGCAACAACTGAACATGCAGATAGAGTTTGCAAATGCTTAATGTAACAAAATTGGGTAAAGGGAAACCATTGGCTGTTCTCTCCCACATTAAGACATCAACTTCTAGTTTTTGAGGCAACTGTTGTCTCATGGAACACTGAGCAACTAAACAAGACCATCTCCAGGAAAAGTGCCCCATCATTTGTGGGTCCAAGACTGAACTGCATATCCAGAATATCCAGGAAATACTTGCGGTCATTGCTGACAACACATATTTGCGATCTGGGATTTTCTAATTTAGCACAAAGAATAAAGAAAGAAACTCACCAGATATGGAACCTGATCTACAACTCAGTCTATGCATCTTGGAGCCAGATATAGATGTATTGGGAAAAAACTGCAAACAATATCGTTCTTCTTGCTGATCTAAAACTATTATTAACTTAAATAGTATTTTTAACTGTAACAAAGATTTTTAGTATTTTTTCCTAGAATTGTTATCCTGCATAGACGTCAAATACTTGTTAAGTTACCTGCAGATAACAAATAGTTGTTGATACGCTTTGTAGAAAACTGAACGCAGCTTATGGAGGCTTCTCTAAGGGAAAAAAAAATTCTTTGAGGAAAAGGAGAGTTGTCATCTTAGCTAACTGGATTTTTCATGGAATGATACATGCTAAATTGGTATATATATGTAAGAGGATTTACAAAGAAATACAGATAGACTCAACACTCAATGAGGCCCCAGTGGATGACAGCACTAGAAGAATATTATAATAATGATAATAATATTCATGAATATTTATTGAGTCTCTGCTATGCACAGTGCACTGTGCTACACTATTACTTCCTTGGGTCCTTCCAACAACCATATGAGATAGGTCCTATTACCATGCTTTACAAAAGAGACAACTAACGCCCAAAGATTGAAGTGATTTTCTCAACTTACCATCCGGTAAGGAAGAGAATCCAGATGTGAACCCAGGGCCCAGGTTCTCATCTGGATTCATTATTGCCTTGCTGTGTGACTGACAACCCTGCAAAACTAACAAGTGAAGGAGTAGCTACATGCTATCTGCTACATCCCAGGCACTGTGCCAGGCATCAGGGTGCTAAAATGACAAAGACTCCGTCACTTCCTTTGGCATCTTAAAGCCTGTATAGGGAGCTCTCAAGTAACAGGCAGAGGCGTCAGTTTGACAAGTGCTGTGATGGATGGAGCCCAGTGTCTCTGGACACAGAGAAGACGGCCACCCACTCTAGCCTGGGAGGTCAAAGAAGGTTTCTCAGAACCTCTCTATATAATGAGAGACCTGTCATGCCTAGAAGATATTTGTGGTGACCCCAATGTTTTGCTTAAACCAATAGAACATAATGTTTGGGTGGTGAGGGAAGGCATTCTTTGTGGCTTGGGGAAACCAGCCCAGGTTAAAAAAAAAAGTCTCTCCCCAGATAACCCATGAAATAACTAAGAAGCACAAGGCCATCACCAGTTGCTAGCCTGCGAGGTTCACTGGCGGAGATTGAAATATGGGCCCAGCTTTAGGGACTTCTTTGCTCATGGGTTTGCAGACAGGAGAAAACTTGGGTGGCTGTTCAGAGATCAATGCAATGCCCTAGCCATCTTGAAGTTTGATTGCAAGGCACCATCCTGCTACTCTGACACCTCCTAAAAGCAACAAACATTTCCCAGTGCTAATTGCCCTGCCCGGGTGAAGGGAAAAGTCTGAGGCCTCTTCCATGCTGTGACAGGTCCCAGCTGGTCCCTGGGGAGGGAGGGAGGGACAGCTGCCACACACTCTGCGGAGACCTTCCAGGATTAAGTGGGAATGGAAACTGTGATTCCCTGAGCATCTACTGTGTATCACACACCATGCTGGCCACTTTAAGTTACGTTCCATTCTTGCACCAACTCTAAGGAGTAGGTATAATTACCTCCATTTTAACCAATGAGAAAACTGAGATTCAGCATCTAGAACAGCACTGTCCAATGGATTTTTCTGCCATGATGGAAATATATTCTGTGCTGTCCAACACAGTAGCCAATAGCTACATCCAGCTACTTGAAAGGGACTTGAAATGTGGCCAGTGTGACTGAGGAATGGAACTTTTAAATTATTTTAAATTTTAATTGATTTAAAATTGTCAAAGACAGATCAGATAGAGAGATCAAGTGACTTGTCCAAGATCACACAGCTAGTTTGGAACATGGGATCCAAACCCAAGTCTTCTGTTTCTAAAAGGGTGTGAATTTTCCAGAAAGTGGCAGTCTATTCAGTCTTTCAGTTATTACTCCCCCTTCTCTTCTCCTAGGTCCAGTTTAGAGAGCATTGCTCATTTTCTACCCATCTTAACCTCTGCAGAATCATCTATAGGTGATGGAAATAATTCCTAAAAAGAAAACAAGAGGAGGCATTTTTATTTCCTGGCAGCATACTTCCACAGGCCTTCGAGTTCTTAACACCATGAAATGACACACCGAATAGAGAAGAGAAACCTTTCTGAGAAAAGGAAGACCAAATCTGATCATGTGAATAGAAAAAAGTCTTTACCTTTAAGTGCATTGGAGGAGTAGGGAGGGAAGTGAGGCAGGGCGTCATGAAGAACAGCATTTATATGTTTAGAAACTCCAAAATTTCTTTCAAATTCACCATTTCAAAATGGCAGTGAGATTTCACAGACACTATGGAGCAAGGTCTGTGCATCCATTTGTTCATTCATTCATCCATTTCTTACTATCATCTCACTTTAACTTAACTGACAAGATCTCAGAGAATGAGTTTGAAGCAGGAATTCTACTTTGTCATGCGAAACAAAATATGGCAAATGTCATGGGATTTTACAAATTTACACCTTTTATGCATTTCATTTTGAAGATGAAGAAACAGAGCCTCCAAATGGGAAAGAGATTTGCCCGAGGCCTCACGGAAAGTTCGTGGCCTGGGGAGGGACTTTTCCGTGTCCAGCTGTGATTCTGAAGCTGATGAGACAAATTTCTCTTCTCTGCCCGTTCTGCAGAAGCCAAGGTGAGGAATGCGATGACATGAATAAGATCAATGGTGACGGCTGCTCCCTTTTCTGCAAACAGGAAGTTTCCTTCAATTGCATTGGTAAGTCTTCGTCTTTTCTTTGGGCTTTGCTGGAAAAGTGGACAGTGTGAAATAGTTAGTCAGTTACAATAATAGCAATAGTTATGACTAAAGGATGAGTTACTCCTTTATATTACAAATATTTATTGAGTGTCCCCTATGAGCCAGGCACTGTTTTAGGCACCAGAAAATATAGCAACGGAAAAAAAAGGCAGATATTCCTGCCCTCGTGGACCTTATGTTCTCATAGATGACAGCGATGACTAGTAACTTTTTTGATCGAAATCTACCTGACGTACGTTATCACTCTTCTTCAAGCCAACTGTCCAGGATACTTATTAGTATAGATTTTTAAGGCTTTTATTCTTACTTTAGAGATGAGAAAAATCAAAAGCCAGAGAAATTATAAAACGCGGCGAGAGTCACACGGGTTAGAAGTGATTGAAGACAGAACAAGGACTTGATCCTGATTTTGTCTGATTCTTAGGGACGTGCTCAGTTCATTTTGCTACACAACCACCCAGCCAGGATCCGCCGTCGTCCCCTCTGCACACTCAGACCCTTGGGCGGTCTCTCTGACTTGGAGGAGGAAGAATAGCAGACCAGCCTGTGTTTAGAAAGCAAATGTCCTCTTCCCACCTTTCCTGGGTCAGATGGGAAATTTGTTCACTCCTGCCTTTTCTAGGAGTCTGGCTGATCTTGTTGTTTCAGCCCCACTTGGGAGGCCCTGGCCAGCCCGGGGCTGGTAAACAGACAGGCTGGGGGGCAGGGATGGAATTTTGAGCTGGCCCAGATGAGATCATACTTCCTTTAAGATGCAAATCAATACCTGAAGATCAAAGGTCCCCAGGCTAATCCCTTGGGCTGGAGGTGAAAAGTAATCACAATTCATTTGCAAGTACAAAAGACAGAGGTGCTCTATCTGGAGAGGGAAGGGCAGCTACGGAGGGATGAAAACAGTGATGGGAAGATTTCTCACTGAAAGGCAATTTTCTAGGAGGACGAAAGGGGAGGAAATGTCATCAGGTCCTTACATTTGCAATGCATTACAGGGCTGCATTTAGCTCTTCCTTCTCCGGTAGATTGTGAGCTCCGTGAGGTCTTTACCATGCATCATTCACCTTTTATTCCGTCCTCAACACACATTTATTGAGCACCTACTGTCTCCTTGGGACCAAGTAGGGGCTGAGCGATACAATAGAGGTGACCCTGTAACTGTTTGTGGATGGAAGAAAGGAAGACATGGAGCAAGGAAGGACAGGAGAGTTTCCAGGCAGGGCCCTGGGTTTTTCAACGGCAGAAGATTTTTTTCCCTCCTCTCTTGATTTGAGTATGGTCCATAATAAAAGCTTGAGATTAACCTAGTGGTGTGGCAGAAAGAGCCTTGGACTAAAATGAAGAAAACCAGGCTCTGGTCCTAGCTGTGCTGAGAGCTTGCTGCATAAACCTGACCAAGTCACTTCCCTGCTCTGGGCCTCAGTTTCTGTCCTATAAATTGAAAGGATTGGGTTAAGTGGTCCTTAAGAGCCTTACCTGCACTTCTGTTGTGTGGTTTCCAAGATGTGTGACTATTCCTCATAATCCTGAGCTCTACTTGAACCAAACTCTCACCTTTGCTGTTACCCTCATGACACCCAATATTACTCTCAGATCATGCTGGAAAATATCTACCTATTTCATTCACGCTAAGGTGGCATGTAACTTACGTGCTTCTGGGAAGAAGGTAGGATGTGGTGAAGGTAGGATATGGTACCCTAAAAGAGAAGCTTGGGCCCTGAAATCCATGTTCTATATCACCTTAACACCATGCAGCTATAAACTAAAATAAGGGAGCCCGTTACAGGTGGAAGCTCATCATCCATGGATGGGGTCTGCAAACTATGGTCCACGGGCCAGAACTATATTTGTAATAAAATCTTACCAGAATACAGCACGCCCATTCCTTACATATTGCCTATGGCTGCCCTCCTGCTACAACAATGGAGTTGAGTGGTTGCAACAAAGACCCTATGGCCCAAAGAGCCTAAAATATTTACTGTCTGGCCCTTTACAGACACCATTTGCTGACCCCTGGTCCATGGACTTGGAGTCTTTGATATTCTTGGCTATTGGACCCCAGTGCAGAGAGGAGGTGAAAATTATAACATGGTTCACCTTTCTTAGAAAAAGAACTTAGGGGTCGGCCCCGTGGCTTAGCGGTTAGGTGCGCGTGCTCCGCTACTGGCGGCCCGGGTTTGGATCCCGGGCGCGCACCGACGCACCACTTCTCCGGCCATGCTGAGGCCGCGTCCCACATACAGCAACCAGCAGGACGTGCAACTATGACATACAATTACCTACTGGGGCTTTGGGGGAAAAAAAGGAGGAGGATTGGCAATAGATGTTAGCTCAGAGCCGGTCTTCCTCAGCAAAAAGAGGAGGATTAGCATGGATGTTAGCGCAGGGCTAATCTTCCTCACAAAAAAAAAAAAGAAAAAGAAAAAGAACTTAATTTTAAGCATACAGTGGTGGGGCCTGGGAGACTATGTTAGAAATAGCACTGGACTGGGTGTCCAGCCCTAGCTTATCTTGCCTCTTTGGGTCTCACTCCTCCTCTCTATTTTGGGCAAAATGACTATTTTGAAGGAGAGCAGTGATTTTCAAGCTGTGTTAACTGAAATGCTTAAGAGGAAAGGAGTGAAGATAGGGGAGTTACCCAGAGGGTGAGACTTGGAGGCTCACGGATCCATTTTATATACCATCATTCTCTACTCGATTGTAAGTATTCTGCTGCTGATGCTGATATTTACTGAACATCTATTATATACCAAGCACATTTATAAACTCTCATTCTCTTAACAACTCTTTTATTGTCTTGCTTTTACAAAAGAGGGAGCTGAGGCATGGGGAGGTGAGCTAAGGGTATGCAGTTAAGTGGTAGAATTGAACTCAAGTCCAGGGATCTTGACTCCAAAGCTCACTGTGGTGAGCTACCTGCAAAAAAGACTGCTCTTGGTCTAGTAGGGCTTTGGGGCTGAACGAGGAACATACAGTATAGACTAATTCATGTAACGAACTAATGGACTGAAATACAAAACTGTCAGTGGTGGATGGTGTCCAGGGGAGGCTCTCCATTACCCCTGTGTATGGAGTGTGTTTTGTGTTAGAGGAAGGGCCTTAGCTATGCCCCTCACCCTCGCCATTTAGAATTCCATTGGAGACACGGGGCATTCCAGGCATTAAGGAGTCTATCCAGAGATCCCACCTCCCAAGAACTACACTCCAAGGAGAAACTCCATGGCTTTGAGTCTAGAAAACCATCCTCCTGTAAGAAGAACAGCTGAAGAATAGACAATGAATCTTTGGCTCCCAGCAGATGCAGTTTTAATGAGTCAGAGAAATGGGACTGGAGTGTGGGAGGCTTTGCTGAGGTGGACACTGTTCTCATCATTACATTTGTCAAGACAGTGGCCAGAATAGTGGCCAAAAGAACAGGCTTGAGTGAGACTGACTTGGGTTCCTACCCTGGCCTAGACCTGTGACCTTGGCTAAGCTTCAATGTTCTCATCCAGAAAATGGTAAAACTCCTGGGAGTCAACTGTGGAAGATATTTACCAATATTTTTGTATACTTATTGTCTGAATTCCCTTTCCTAGATTTAGGAAATAACTCTCCCTGTTATACTTGTAATGAGGCAGAGCCCAACCCCCACTACGGAAGCTGAAAACCCGAGAGTCTTCTTCTCTCAGTCCCCTTAATAGTTTAAATGTAGGCACAAGACCTATACTCTCCCCCAGTCAGATACACCCACCCAAGACATTGAATCAGGAGCTAGTGGTGATAAGACATAGGGACCTGCAGAAACCATTTTGATAAGGATGGTGAGGATGGCCACAGCCCGTGCATTTCCAAAATACCAGTGACGACATGCAGCATTAGTGCTGATGTGACGATGTGTAGCAACACGTCTGTGATGTCTTCACAAGACCTGGGACCTAATCTTGAGCTTGGAATTGGGCCTCAGAACAAGCAAGCCTGGCTCTCCAGCCCTCCCAGGGAGTGTTCCATAAGTATCCAATATTCTTTGAATAGATTTTGTTTGTTTCCTTGTTTTGCTTAAGTTAGCCAAAGTTGGTTTCTGTTGATTGTCACTTAGAAGCCTGACGGAAAATTGTTGTCATAAGATACTATGAGGTTTAGCCCCATTCCTAGCAAGTTGGATGTGTTTGATGCACATTACTTTTCTCAGTGTGTGTTTGTGTGGGTGTGGGTGTGTGGGTATATGTGTGTGTTGGGGGGTATCAGCAACAACCACCATTTATGGATACCCGTTAGGTGGTATGCCCTGTGTCATGCATCTTTGTTTAATGTGAGCCTATGTGAGGTCTCTTATATCCAGATGAGGGATCTGAGACCTACTGTGATGTGTTAACTTGTCCAAGGTCACATAGCTCATAGAAGTGTGATCCCAAGTCCAGACTGAGTGGAGAGCCCCTGCTTTTTCTACTCTTTCACTCTGGCTCTCCATCTGAATGACCTCCTTCTTTCCTTCCTTCCTTCTTTCCTTCCTTCTTTTCTTCTCTCCTTCCTCCCTTCCTTCCTTCCTTCCTCCCTCCCTCCCACCCTCCCTCTCTTCCTGCTTCCCTTCCTTCCTTCTTCCCTCCCTTCCTCCTTTCCCTTCTTCTCTTTTATTGTTTTGTCACCAGTCACTTAGCAGGGCTAATGTTTTCCCTGGGTTTGGTAACACCAGTGTGAGGGTGGGTGACAGATTTATGGTGGCATTCTCATTCACTTTTCAGAAGCCCACACATCCGGAAGTATTCCCAAGGTGCCAGTGTGTTATTATGCAACACCCTGGGACTTCCCTTTCCCACTTTCCCGCCCCCAGCGCCCTCATCCCCCAGCACATAATAAGTTGCTTGTTAAAAGGAACACCGCCCACAAGATCTCTTAGGCAATGCACGCTAGATCCCCGGCAATGTAGAAATTATCTTGTCCTTTCCCCCCCTTTTTAAAATATAACATATACCAGGCCTGAGGTT